TGCAGTTCTTGCCAGCTCAAGACATACAAAGTTCCCTGAGATTGTAGACCCTGTCGAAATTTAGCCCATTTGATCCAGGGGATTTTATAAACCTCATATGTAGCTATTGATATCAAATAAAAACAACCTACGTTTTTTATGGCTCAACTCGGGTTCTTCATCCCGTTTTTCCCGAAGTTCATTTCCTGAAACACCTTGAGAGTTAACACCTTGGTTTAGTACTTGGACACATAGAACTAATTGATCATTACTTTTACAATATATCTGGTTACAGGTTATTTTTTGCGCGAGATATTGATTCAAAAAATATCTTCTGAAAAATTATTAGCTGCCAAATTGGACGCTTTTAGTGAAAAGACGGCCTTATTATTTCTAACCAGTAATTTTTTTTTATACCTTTCTGGGCTAGTGTGACGAGAATCATTCCAAGGACCCAAAACCCAACGATTGCCTTCATTCTAAACGACGATGGCTTTCAATTCAGTCTCCCTGGACATAGCAACTTCTCAGGATTATCGACGGGGTACAGAACGTAAATGATCGCCTTTCTTTAGTTTTGAATAAATCAATTAAAATTTACATAATAAATCACTGGATAATATAACCCGTCGAGCTAGTAGGTCAGTAAAAATTGTTTAAAACGTACCGTATTCAGTTCAATGGTTGCAGTCACTTTATCTTAAATCATTGAAAATCGTAGTTCTCACCAAACAATGAATGCTATTTTACAAAAGTAGTATCAAAGAAGTAAGAGTGATTGTACACGTGGCTGGCGTGAAATATTTGTCAGTCATAATTACTATGCCATTGTTCGTGGCCACGTTATTTTAATCACTGAATAATTAAACTACCTTGTTACATCGCCGACAGTAAAGCTCAATAGACCATTTTACAGTTGTCTGCTCAGTGACTTGGCCTTTGTATGGCAGCGAGGCTAGAGTTGACCTCGTTTTGATACAGACCTCGCTGCTTTTGTTGTGTAAAATAAGTTGTTCTGATGCTAACTAGGTGCATTTACGTGACAAAAGCAGTGAGG